TTGTAAAAAAAGAGTAGGAAAGAATTTTGAAAACATAAGCTGTGTTTCATTTTTAATTTGTGCACTATTTACAATATACACATGAAATAATAATTTCAACAGGCCAAACTAGTCCTTCTTTTCTAAATTCAACAACTACAATTACACTTATTGTAAAAAACTGATCAAAGACATATCAGGGGTGTTTTTTTAGCTGTCAAAACCACTAATGTTGCTAACCAGCAGCTGACCACACAAACCACTCTAACCTTTGTTTTGTTTACATTTACCAGCAAAACAGTACCATGTTGCTCTTTTCATTTTATATTTAGTCTTAAGAAGCAACCTGACAGCCAGCTTAGCCAGTCATTGCTAACTTAAAAGGTCATGCTGTTAGATATCACACAATCTGTTTGTAATGCAAAGTTTCGACCAGAAGGTTCTAGGAAAATACATCTGGACTCAAAGACTATCTTTCTTTTCTTAAATTTATGTGTTTACATAAATATGTTAAAACAAGACTGGAAACATATTTTTGGTTTAAACCCCATTTCATGTGACGCACTATGAAAGATAGTGAAAGAAGATGGATGAAAAAATGGAAAACGATGGTACATGATGTTTCATTATTTTTAACTGTACTGTCAAAAATCATTTTCCTAGTATGATATTTTCAATTTTTCATTCATTGCTTCAGTTTAAGGCTTCACAATAGCCCAGTTTGTAGCACTATTATGTTGCAGCAAGAACATCCTGGGTTTAAATCCTAGCCTAGTATCTTTCTGCATTAAGTATGCATGGTAGCCCTGTGCAAGTAAAGGTTCCCCAGCTTCCTCCTGCAGTAAAAAAACAAACAAAAAAACATGGCTGTTAGGTTTAATGGTGTCTCTAAATTGTTGTGTGTCTCCATGTTGTCTTATGGACAACCAACCTATCCAGGGTTTACCCTTCTTTTTGCATAAAGACTTAAAAATATGGAGGCACCAGATTCTTGCAACCCCCGAAGGACAAGTGCTAAAGGATGGAAGGTTCCAGTTTTAACAATTAATAGCCTTATTTTATATACTTTAAAATTACACATTTATGTCTCAAGTACTATTTTCAAATTTGTTGTATTTATTCATTAGTGCTTGAATGATGTGCTAAAGCTAAAAATGTAATTATAATACTGGAGTGCTTAATCATGGTTAATGGTGTAGCACGTTTATATAGCTTCTTATCTATTATGTAATATTCTTATATTTAAATAGTATTTACACATGGAAAGACATTACAGTACTGCCATGTATTACAAGTTTTTTTATTTATCTCCAATTATCTTTAATCTATAAAATTTTAAAGTTATTATATAGATTATGCTATAAGTAATCATAATAGGTCAGTTGGTAGTTAGTTTGTCAGTTGCTCTCAATGCTAAATAACCACCCTCTTGTTGGAGGAACAGGAGAAAAACAGCAGAGATCTCTTCTTAAGCAGAGTTTTTGATTAACAGCTTTGTTTACTCCGTAAAGCTTTAGAGTCGCTCATGAGTGAATGTCAGTTTGGCAAAAAAAATTCTCCTTATATCAACAAACTTTTGAATCCTGAACAATAAGCCAAGCTCACTCGAGGGCAGGTCATTAGTACAACATAATAATAGCCCCTGTATTCTATCCATGCTCTCTATGAACAATCTCACTGACAAATTGCCAAGATTTGACAACAGTAAAGGGTATAAATTTCTGCATCTTAATCCATAGATCTGGTTTTTGTCTTTTCCTGATTTTTTGTTAGAGCCTGACAGGGTTTTTTTTTTTCCAATCATGCTTCCATATGGTCTTTTTTTAATAACAGTAACCTTGAATTCCAACCATTTCTGGCTTTCTCTGCAAAGCTAACACATGAACTGGCTTTAAAATCATGCTCAGTGGAAATTCATTACCCTTATAACCCACAATATCAAGTTTTGACAGAGAGTGAAATTCTCAACAGGAACAGGGGCCCTGATAACACTGGCACCAGGATATACTGTATGTGAATAATTCAGCAGCATTTACAGTGAATACCTTCCCTTTAATCTGTCAGAAAACCTCCCACATTGCTTCACTATCATTTTTGTACGATCAGTCTTTGTCTCAACTTTCCACACTGGGGCATAATTGGTTCCTTGTTGTGCCAGTTGCATCAAGCTTTTCAGACAGAGATACGTTTCACTAAAAGCCAAACCTGGCCACAGGCAAGTTTCTTGATTAATGCTGGCAATGACAAGCAAGTGTCTTCCTGAAACCCGTCATGTTCTTAGCACGTACTGACAAAGACATATGTGTTCCTGGGCTGTCTTTATTTTTGGCCTCCATTCAAATGCGGCTTCGCATAAGTTGATTTTATTATATATTTATGTTTCATTGCTTTAAGGCTCAGTTGCTTTACTGCTGGCATTAATTTTCCAGATGAGAAATTGCACACACCACAATGATTTTAATTTTCTCTTTAACGTCAGACTAATATTTATTTTTTTCTAACACTACGCTGAGGGAAATATTTTTTATATCAGTTAAGTGGCTGTGACTGCACAATCTTGCTCTTGACGACGCCGCTGCCTGTAAGCTTTATGTGCTGCTGCTTTATCAGAATTGCTTTTTTTGTTTGCTTGTTGTTTTTTTTAGCAGCTCTGAGCTAAATCCTGCTTCCAACAATGTTAGCCTTTGATTTTACAGTGCAAACTCTGTCTCTGAAACACACAGCAGCACCCACTGAAGCCCACGCCCCAAGCTTCAAACAGCCCACCAGTAACCCAACAGGTTATATCACTATCATGTTGTTCTCTGCAACCAACGGGTAGCACTAATATGGCTTTGTTAGGGAAATAACAACCCCAATAAATGAATGGATTCAGTTACTGTGGCACAGATTTCCAGCACTATAATGGTAAAACAGCTGGGCTCCATGAATACGGCCCACTGTGTGCATCCAATTTGTGAAAGCTTGAATTCTCTTGAACATAAGAGCATTGCACAATAGACACAATGCATTTATTTGTATGTGCATGGTTCCTCCAGCCTGTCCCCTTTATGAGAAAATAGTTCGAAATTGCTGCTAAACTGCCAGTCTCACCCACACAAACCTGGAATCGAGGACTTTATGATTTTCTTTCCTTTTTTACATCGAGCTAAATAAGAACAGATATTCACAATGACATTCAGGCTAATCTACACCCACTTTAGCTCATTCTGCTCTAGCTGTCTAAGAAAAGCTTACATTAAATTTGCTGAAGCCTTATGAGGCTGGTTGAAAGGATTTAATATGTGTCCTTATCTGTGTGTTGCGTGCTGCAACCACTCACTTGAAGCTGTGGTTAAATGTGAAGAAAACATAAAACAAAAACAAGCTGCATTTCATACCGTTTATTTACTGTAAGTTGCATTAATTGAAACCATGCTTAAACACCTCAAGGTTTCAGCTTCCTGCAGTTTAGCTTTTGATTTATTAAGACCACTTATGCAAATGGAGTCAATCGCAATTTTCCGATTGGAATACCTGCGGCACAACCAGAGTCCCAGATGCTACAGCAGAGCTCTCAAAACAACAGATGATGGGAAAAAACTCCAGCTGTTTCAGAGGCCAGCAGATCAGGGGCTGCCAGAAGTTTAAAAATACAGCAGGGGCTTGTCAACTCTTGATTCATTAAGATGTAATAACACCAAACACTGCTTCTTTAGAGTATATTAGATCTTTGTCTTGAAACAGATTAATCATACTTTTGTTAAGTGAAGCAAAGGGTGTGACAGAGTTACGCTGGCTTGGTTCTACCACTGTCAAATAACAATTCCTCAGTGAATTTGGCCAAAATCCGTTTGCAGACCAATGCAAGGTCATGCACTGTATGTAATTAATTTATCTATGTAGAAGGTACAATTTTAAGTTGCCCAATAAGGCCAAACTTCGATTTATTTTATAATAAGATAGAAGTATACAGACTTTACTTATTTTGTTTAATTAATACAAAAAAAGGAAAATATCAGCAGTTTTTTTCTTTTTCAACCCCAATGTGTTTATTTTCTAGAACCACCTGCAGATGCATTTGCAACACCAAGTATTTTAGGTTATGTTTCTACCAGTATGTGAAATTTAAAGACTGATATATTTTGCTCATCTATGATAGCAAAATAGATCTAAATCTCAAATCTTGGCTCTAACATTTGCATGTGATTTTGTTTTGAGTCTCAAAGAATGTGAAATTTCATCCCCCTGTCTAAACTAAGCAACAAACCTCTGAGGCCTTCACTGAACAGCTTTAAAACTGAGATCACATTGGATAGACTTATTTGATGAGGTAACTACTTGTAATGACTTAATGAGTAAAGAGGAGATTCAAATAAATGTGAACCCTATACTCAATTCAATATAGCGCCAATTCACAACACATTTCATACAACTTTTATCTGGAAAAAATGTTAAAAACAATGGATGTTGTTGAGTGTGATCTCTACTGCCATCATCCGCTGGGGTATTAGCATCAAAGCAAATGACAAGCAAAAGAGGGCCGACTCTTCTAGAAACTCCTCTAGAGATTCTAGAGTTTATTTCACATAGAGTGATTCGAGAAGTGAAGAAGATCAAAGTAAACAGGGAGCATCCTCTTCAGAAGATTTTTAAGCAACAACAAAGTGTACTCAGTCAGAAACTTCTCCAAATGCGGTGCAAGACGGACCGTTACAGAAGATCGTTTCTGCCTATCAACACCTACAACACCTGGATAAAAAATATACTATGAGTTAATGCAACCTTTAAATTCCCTTTGGGATTAATAAAGTGTTTTTAATTGAGGTGAATCTTTCTCCTTTAATTCATCACAAAACATCATTGCTGTTCTATCATATCATTTAAAGACACTGCATTTTGTAGTTGATGAAAAGATGTGATAAAGCTCTCCGAATACTTCTCCAAGGCACTATAGCAGCTAGAGCAAACCCCCCCCCCCCCCCCCCCCCCCACTGCAGAAAACAGTGTTTAGAAGAAGTGAATTATGGGTAAACACCAACCTGAACCAATCCTCTGAGGTGTTCCAGCACACCCTCCATGGGAAGATGCTGGAAGAAATTGTTTCTCAGGTTAAGACGGGACAGATTGACTCCGGAGAACACGCCAACAGGGAGGCTCCGCAAGATGTTGGAGTTGAGAAACAACAACTGCAGGGATGGCATAGAGTCAAAGGTGCCGGGATCTACAACACGGATGTAGTTGTACTCCAGGTAAAGGAACCTAAAATCAGGAAACAAAGAGGTGGATACAATCAGTGTTTACAACAAAAAAGACAAATAAAATGGGCCACAGTATTATAACATAATATAAAAAAAAATCCAAGCTACGGGTTGTGGAGCCCTCTTTTATCTCTCCATGACAAATACACTGCTGAATATTCATGTTTCAGTATCATAGCAGGAATTTAATTTAATCTCCTCTCTGCCTGTTCACAAACTGATCAACATCAAATGATGTCAAATTTCACACAGAAGTCTGTTTATCAATTTTTTTTTTTTACAACACTGCTGGTTTGTGTTGTTTGTTTGTTTGTTTTTAATTAGTAGAAATATATGGGATATACTTTACTATGCCAGTCTGGGATTTAGCACTCTTTCGTTTCTGAAGAATCCACTGAAATAAAAACACATCTCTTAGAGAAAAGAAGTGTGTTCAAGAAAAAACCTGCAACACTTTGTTTATATAAGCATCCACAATCTGCTTATACTTTGTTCAACCACCCTTTGTTTCATTTGTAGCATTCAGTTTTCTCAGGAACACATCTGCAGTTATACAGCATCTGATTACCTATTACTGAAGCTCAACCATCCCAGCTGGACTTTTGTTGCATTTGTTTATTTGCATACTATAGTTAACTCAGAAATTCCAAGGGATCAAGAGCTATCTTAAACAAAAGTATGAGACAGGGAAGAACAGTAATAGTGCAAAAATTGGATGCTTCTCCATAAGGGATAAAAACACAAGACAGATTGGTGAAGGTGGCTGCCAAAAGCCTAAACTATAAGAATAGCAGGAATCATCTAGTCAGGTACTAAAAGATGCTTTTCTTCTAAACAAAATATCTCCAGCTCGCTAGAATCTCCCTAAATCTACTTTTCAGGAAACAAAGAGGCTAAGTTTTAGGTTTGGTTGGGAGCACATTTCTTAGCCAGATGTATATACTGAAAGCATTTAAAGAAGGCAATGTATGGAATGTCTGCATTTCCTCAGGAGGAGCAACATTGCAGAGTTACCTGAACAAAATTACACCAAACTTAAAAGGTTGAGCCATAGATCCAATTGCTATTTTGCATCTTAAAGCAACACTGCAGCGCTCCATGCCTACAGTGGTGGTACTCTGAGGAGCCATTTTCTTGGTTTGGACCTCGACTTTTTAATAAGGTATGACAAGTCACAAGAAACAAAATAGTTCTGATAATTTTGACCACCTAAAGAAGGCTGTGGATAGGAGTCGTCCTTACAGCCTGACAGATATTGAAAACCTCTTCAAGGTAGAATGGGCAAATACAGAAGATTGAAGTCATTTTTAGGATTTCATTTTAAATTGACAGAAACCAAGCATTTTAAAGAGGGTGTGAAGACTTTCTATATCCACTGTAGACCCAGTTCAAAATACTCATAGTGCTCTGTCACCATTTAGCACTTAACAAAGGCTAACGAGAGGTTAAGAGGAAGACATTTCCCATGTCCGCAGAGGATCTTTATTATTGATTAATAGTCAGATTAATGGCTGCAGATTTTCTTAAACCTGTCTGGAAATATAAAGACGCTACTGCTGAGATCTGAAGCTTGAATGACTTATCATTCTTTAGATAGAAAGTGTATGAGTTCTGTTCTGTTGTCCATATTAATGTTTAATGCACTTACCGAAAGTAGATATGCATTATGTACGGATGAATCATCTCTTTGAGCTTAATCTGACAATTATATACATATGCATCGATGTGACAAGCCTTTTCCTAAACACAAAATCCTGCCATCATCCTGACACCTTGCTGTCTTATCAACACCTCTGTATCCAAATACCAAAAAACATTAATTTTCACATTGTCACTCAGAACCAGGCTTACAACTCAACTGGAGCATTGCATCAGACAGCGTGACTAAGTAATGACAAACATGGTGGGGAATGGGAAACCTTTATTTCAATCAAACTCCAGCATTATAGTAATCAAGGTTTTCAGCTCTTCAATTCAACTCTTTTAACAAACAAATCTCTAAGTACCTTAAGCTGACGTGTGGCATTGGTTTAAGAATTTTGTTTGAAGTGCAAAGAGGGGAAGGGTGTGTTTGAAATGCTGAGCGATGCAAATCTTTCTCACCTTAGGCTCTGCAGGCCTAGGAACATGTGGGGACTCAACCGATCCAAGTTATTTCCATTCAGGAAGAGGGTCCTCAGGTTCATTAGAGTGGAGAAGGCCCCCTCCTGGAGGTAACTGATGCGGTTGTTTCCAAGGTTAAGCAGGTCAAGGCTGGAGAAGTTCCAGAAGTCCATACGATAGAGCTTTTGGATTAAGTTCCCCCCAAGGAAGAGCTTCCGGCCATTGAGGGGCCGAGGTATGAGCTCAGACATGTTACGGAATCCGCTCTCTTTGCAGTTCAGTGTTAGACCCAGATCTGCGATGTGAAGGTTGCAGGTGCAACGGATGGGGCAGATGATGGGTATGGGGGGTCGTGTTTGGTAGCCTGCAATAGGGGGGTTCTGGTTAGGCATCAAACTGCGAGCTGTAGGGGGAACCCTGGAGGGCCGAGGCCTTTTAGTCGGCCGTGGCTGCCTCTCTCTTTCCTTACGCTCTGATGAAGAAGAGGATGATGAAGTGGAGGACGTGTGAGTGCTCTGTCGGGAGCCATGCACCATAGATGATGGCTTTGTCGGCCTGACCCTCCCCGCATGGGAGTTGTGTTTAGAGTTTGGGGGCAGAGGCTGGGGCTGGGATCCCTCTGATGGAGTGCCTCTCTCTCCTTGCAGCTCTTTATCCGGCAGGTCAGCACACAGCTCTTTGCGGGGGATTTCCCTCAGGTCCTTTCCATGCAGATGAAACGGGTATTCACAGGTAACATCCCCGACTACAGCCGTGTAGGGGATCTGACCCAACCACTGCAGTAGCTGCACTGCCTCGCAGCTACAGTTCCAGGGATTCTCCTCCAGCTGTAGCTCCATCAGGGATCGGCCAATGTACTCCAGCGTCCCAGCATATGCCAAGCTCTTCAGACGATTTCCCCGCAGGTCCAGATGAGTCAGAGACACAGATCTGGAGTAGGAGGGAGAGGATGAATAAGATTAAAGGACAAACTGCAATAAAGAAAATTCAGTTTTTATTGGATAATGAATTCATCTGCTGTGATGTGACATATAGCGCAGTGCAAAAGCATTCATATCTTTTGTGCTTTTTCACATTCTTTCGCATCACGACTGCAAAATTGTATTTTAGTTGAATTTTATTTGATAGACCATCACAAACAAAAGTAGTAATATTATTGGAGGAAAAATACAGTCTTCAATATTTTTGCAAATGAAAATCTGAAAATGCAGAATGTATTTATGCTCAGGAATCAATACTTCCAAAATCCTTTAATTTTGTCTGGGCGTAATGTTTAGTTTAGGATAATCGACATGCAGGTAGGTTAACTTGGCTCAGGTTAAACTCTGTTGCAGTATCTGAAAAAAAATCTTCTTTTCTATAATAACCTGTTATTGAGGTCCAGTTTTTTATTTCAACTCATACCAATTTCTTTACCTGTCCCTGGTAAGAAAAAAAAAATCCCCTGCATGATGTTGGTGCCACCATGTTCCAAATGATAAGTAGGGTGTTTAAAGTGATTGCAGTGTTAGTTTTCCTGCAAGACAATTTTGGATTGAAAAGCTATATTTTGACCTCATCTCACAAAAACACTTTCTCTCACACATTTGTCATGTCCTCTATATGGACTGTAGCAAATTGGACTTCTTATGGCTTTCCTCTTGCCACTTTTTCTTAAAGGAAAAGTGAAATGCAAGTCTTATGGTTGATGTGCCAGCCCCACTTAATATTGTTTGAGAACCTAACCTATCTGTTTGTGCTTAAAAAAAAACAACAGCTGAATTTATATAGAGAATAAATCCCACTCAGATGGACTTTGTTACCTGTTTCTGAAGACATCAGTAAAAGGTCAGAACATTTTTTTATATTCTTATCTATAAATCTTCAGAAAACCAAGTGTCTTTCCACTTGAATAATGAAGCACTTTACATTGGTCAATCACATTAGAGCAGTTCCAATATAGCATGTTAAAGTTTGTGGTCGTGACTAATTGTGAAAAGGTTCAAGGGATATGAGTGCTTTTGCAAGGCGCTGTGTATGCTCTAGAATAACCCTGCCTCAGCAGAACTCTGACTAACCGTGCCTGGCAGTGATATTTCTACAGATCGGTCCTTGCAAAATTAAAAAGCTTCGGAGTAAAATAATCAGAATGTAACCTGAACAGATGAGCAGGCAGGATGGGAATCAGATTATCATTCAGTATGAGAACCCGAAGCTTGTAGAGAAACCTTAGAGCGCCGCTGTCGATTCGTTTGATCACATTGTAGTCGGCCTACAGGAAAGAAAAAAGAAATTAAGCAATTTGGACAAAGCTGCCATTGCTGCTGACCAGGACTTAAGGACTCTGTATTTCAAACTTACACCTAAACATTCTTTTACCCTGTTTCAACCAGACCCCCTGCCGATTCATGTCTTTTTCTGGCATGAAAATGAATTGTACTCTTGGGCAGACTTATCAATAATAAAGTCAATCACGGATAATTAGGACTGATTGTGTCCTCAAGCCTACCTGGAGGTATTCCAGAGCCTCTAGGCCAGCGAACGTGTCATTTCTGAAGACCTCCAGCTTGTTCTCATGGAGGTACAGGCGCCTCAGTTTGGCTAACCCGTTAAAAGCCCCCACTCGGATATCCTGAAGTCCATTGTTGCCAAGGTTCATCGAGACTGCGTTGCCAAGGTGCTGAAACCCGTTGCTATAGAGACGTCTGAAAGAGTTCCTCTGGAGGTTGAGTTTGAAAGGGCGGATCCATGACTGTGACACCTGGATGATTAATTACAGCTCTGATTACTTAGTTTATTAATTATGGGAGGGGAACAATAAGAACAAGCCATAAGACACAACAAAGGCAATATATTAGCAATGGAGATTCGGCATTTTAACAAGATTAATGACACTGTTGTGAAGCCTGTGATAAATGAGGACAAAAGGGGTACCTGGCTGGCATTGGTGAAGCCCCGCCCATCACAGTGCACGTGCAGCACGCCCTCTTTGACTTCGCATGTGCACGGCTCGAAACACGGCTCGTCCACTTCCTCCTCAGAGTTGTCCACCAGAGGGGTGTGAGTGGAGGTGGGGGTAGGGGTGGGGCCGTGCGACGCCTGGGACAGGCACACACACCCCAGGGCCACCGCCAGAGTGACCCACTGCATCCTACTGCTTCTCCCTTTCAGCTCAGCAGCCTGGGGCTACGACGCGGCATCAGGGCCTTTATCTCACTGCCAGACCAGGGAAACATGCATACATTTCAATGAGACGCACACACACAGGATCAGGAAAGGACAAACAAACAGGGAAGTAGAAGGAGAAGTAATTTCAGGATGAATCAGATTGGTGATACATCATAAGCATATTCAAGCAGGCTGGAAATAAATGTTAAATCACCCAGGCTGTTGAGCCATGCATGGGGAAAACTTTCCTTATATAGAAATAATGATGTATAGACCCGCTGCCGGCTATAGTTCGCCATGACATGAGTCAAACTAGAGGAAACATACGGTGCCATGCAAAAACATTTGCATCCCATGATATTCTTTACCCTATCTCCTATTCCAACCAGAAACCTCACCCTATTTTATGTGATACACCTACACAAAATGCTTCCTATTTGTAAAATGGAAAAATACTGAAGCATGGTTTGAGAAATATTTTACACATCAAAACCTGAAAACATTTAGCATGCATTTGAATCCAGTCCCCAGGAAGCAATCATTCCTTCAACCATGGTTCTGCCCTCAGTGGTATTAACATTGATAAGCAGAGAGACACTCCTTGGCAACGTGTGTTGCAATAATAACTGACAAACAAATGTGCATTCAGATACATTCATAATGTAAACATTCATTACAAAATAGACATAAGCAGATGCTATAACAAGTGGGCAATAAAAGAGATGCTTTTCATCTCATGCCTCAAAAGCAAATGGAAACAATAACATATATTAGATTATAGTAAATATATGCAATAGCATAAGTTTCGTAACTGTAAAATAAACAAAACATTCAAAAGAGAAATGTAGCCTATATAAGTTTTACATGGCTTGACCAAAAACTACTCTGCATGTTTGCTGTTAACAAAATCTCCCAGTACAAATGACAAATTACTCATAAACTAGAGCTTCATAAAGAGATTAGTTCAGAATAGGTTAATAACTCAGAGTATTTAAACATGGTGATTTAATTGAAGTAACAAACTAATGGAAAGAAGTGGATTGTGCAGCATTAATTCTTTAGTCTCTTATAAAGTACCAATTGTGAAAAACGACATGATTCAATCATTTTTGAATTTTCACTGTAGATGAAAGCCATCTAAGAGAGAGTTTGGCTTTGTTATATGAAACACATCCATTGGTTGTTATTCAGGCTGCTTTTGCTGCAATATTTAGAAAACAAATCTCCAATCAACGCGGGGGATTTAAGAAGTGCACAGTCTATTTTCTGGACAATCTTTACAACTTTAAAAATTCTGGATCTGGTGAAAGAGATTTGTGAAACAGCGTGGCAGATCAGAATGACCTTGCTTTAACATCAGGATTGCTGGTGACTCAAAGCAAACGCTCTCCATGGTGCTGAAATGTGATGACTTGTAGGTTGAAATGTTAAGAATTTGACCTAACCGTTTTAAGTTTTTCTGCAAAAGAGCAACCTGTGTGTGGAAAGGAATTTCTTATGGCCCATACATAAAAATTTAAATGACAGGAATTTTTTTGATTCACTTAATTTTGTGTTAAATTCTTAATTCAGATGTATTCTTGTTATTGGATCTTCAACAGAAACGTTCTTTTTTGTTGTTTTTACAGAAAAGCTAGCCTTGGTTCTGATAGCCCATGCATTGAAAAATAACCTTTTTAGGTGTCTTAATGGTCCTGCTCTGAAGGCCTCAAAAGTTAATGCCTATGGATCATTAGGCCATGAAGCTGAATAAGCGGCTTGATGACCAAAGGTTTTGCATACATCATACAACATTATAGAGATTTAAATGTCTAGGATCCATAACATAACAGCTAGTAAATGTATATTGATTAGGATGAACGCACTAACAATTTGTCATGGTGTGTTCCATAATGTACCATGTTATTACCTTTTAATACAAAAAAGAGCAGCTGCTGCGATTTTTAATAGCAGCCACAAAAATTAACCGCGCTACTACGTAATGCAGGAGAAACTTAAAAAAATTGTGTTCATGGATTTTATTACTTTTTTCAGAGGTTATATTGAAATGAAGATTAAATGTTATTTCATTAGTTTATGAAACAGGATCTATGCCATCATTACATAATGCGGCAGAGCACTACCTCTTTGGCAAATTTTATTATATGTCAGCTCAACTGCCTTGGACATTTAGGCTGAAATTTAAAACACTTGCCTGTTTTCTGTGCAAAAATATTTTTGAGATATCAGACAGTAGAAGAAAGAAAAATAAAAAAATATAAAAGACAAATATAAAATATAAGACTAAAATATAGTCTAACAGAAGCTTCATTATTGGTTTTAGACCTGGACTTTGACTGAGTAACTGTAACACATGAATAGGCTTGGACATAAACCATCAGGATCGAGCTCTCATTGGAAGGTCAACTTTTACTTTTACATCCTGCAACAGGTTGTCTTTACACCATCTTCTATTTTCTTGCTAAAGAAGCGTAAACCCCTAGCATGATGCTGCCACTTTGTATTATCTCTGAGGTTTTTCACAGAATGGCTGTATTTAGATTAAGCATGTTAAGATTTAAATCACACTTGACTAATTAGTTGATTTTTTAAAGCTCTTTAGTATCAGAATTCAGTTTTTTTTATAAGCAAATATAAAAGCATGTAGTGTTTGATGGCACTTTAGCGTGATGTGCTACTTTGTAATTATCTAAGGAAAGAAACAAAAGAGAATTACCTTTTTAGGTGGTGATTTGACAAAATGTAGAAAATTTGAGCAGTTTAATATTTTTTTGACAGCTAAGACTAATCCACCAACAATGCTTTGGTGTCCAGGTGATGCAATGAAAGCCATTATATTGCCAATTCAAATACTGGCATTGTAAATGCAAAACTAAAACACGGACACATGGGCTAGCTCACTTGAGAATCACATTCTACCATGTTCAGGATGGCTTTTTGGGACAAATAGGGGACGAAAAACAAAATAACAGCTGTGATGAATATATTCATCTGTATTCTCAAATGGCCGGCAAAGCTGAAATGTCACGCGAGTGTTGTTTTAATGTATGCAATATGAATATGAGTAAATGCAAATCAGATTCATAATGCCTCAGTCTAATGAACTGCTCCATTTAATAGGATGAATGGCAATCAGGGAACACAGAGGGGGTGAGGCTCAAACTACCCGAGATTATCAATCAGCAAAAATATGTTGGGTTATCAACAGCCATCGGGACCTGTCATAGTCATTACTGTGATAATGACAGTGGAGCTGGAGCACTGCTGCAAATCAAAACTCTTCAAAATTTTTCAAAAGCGGGTTGATGTGGAGGCAGCATGTTGACAGGCTGAAGCATGGACCAATACTGATAGTGGGGGTGATGTAATAGGAGCAGGATTACTGCATGTTTTTCAAGGCCAAATCCAGTACTTTACCACAGTCAGATTAGAAGATTTCTCCATTAACGAATGGATGGATGGATGGATGGATGGATGGATGGATGGATGGATGGATGGATGGATGGATGGATGGATTGGTTGATTGATTGATTGATTGATTGATTGATTGATTGATTGATTGATTGATTGATTGATTGATGGACAGTGAATTTCTCAATGCTCTGTTTTCTTATTCCTTCTTTCTCCAGACCTGGCAAACAAATCAAATTCCCGACCCATACAGTCTGTGTTTAAACACTATAAAAGGGAATGCATGATTTTGCAAAAGAAAGCAGAAAACAGCTGAGATGCAGAGTTTTGCATTAGTATATTTCCTCTCAAGCCTTAACGAGATCTAAATTGGATAAAGCATCTCGATCTGCTCATAGAGTGTTGAACACTGGCACACGGAATGCAATAATGATCATGATGGTTTGGTAGCTGTAATCATCCTGCAATAATCTGGCATCGGCGGGTTAGACAAGAAGGCTGCAGTGAAAACATCACCGCCTGGGAGAGGAAGAGCAATCACAGAGGTGATTATAATGGGGGGAGAGAGATGAAGGGAAGAGTGAAAACCAGAGGAGGAGGCAAAAACGGGAAAAAAGGTGAAGGAATGGAGAATTAGACAGACCAGACAGATAAGGAGAGAGTAATGGGTTATAGAGTGGGTGCAAAAGGAGGAGGAAAGGAGTGGGATTGCATAAGCAGTAAGAAGTCAGTCAAGTCTGCCACTCAGGATGAGAGCTCACAGTGAAACAGCTGAAATCTGATATTGATTACATCAAAGCCCTCCTTCTGCTCTGCACACAATGTACGCCCGCCTCAGAGAGAAGCAGCTCCTGAGCCAAGTTTCTCACACCCGTGTGTTTGCGTGTGCAGGAAAACAATGCAAGAAAGGTCAAACCATATCCAAAAAGTATGCTTTTAAAGCCAGCCAGGGAACAGAAACAGGTGGCGGGCACACGTGTGGATTGAGTGTGAGCTTTCGTAATGCTGCAAGACGTGCTGGAAGGCCTCAGGACGGAGAAAACTCACAAATCTAGACCAATGTGCTCAGTATACTGTCAAACAAACAGTGATGCAACTCAGTCGACTCGCAGTTGGTCATCTTTATCTGAGGGGTTGTCTTGTTGTTCTTTTGTTTTCTGGGCAAAAAGAAAAACAAACCCACCCCACCTCCTATATAAGGAAGATCAATACTCAGTCCAGATAGACCACTGGGATCCCTCCTGTTAGACTCTGCCTTGATGGGAAGCAACATAGTCAACACTCAAGCCTCCTTCTCAGATCAGCCAAGTGAAGTAGTCAGCAGTCAGCATAGCTCTGCATCATTATGGGAGCACGAAATGACTCTGGCTGAGTGTGATTGTGCATAAGTCTCTTGCTCTTTTATTTATAAGACAGTCCTGGCACAGGTGTGGCTTTCCTCCTTGTCTCTCTTGACTCTTTTATTCCTCCCTTTTTTTTCCTCTTTTGCACACACACACACCCACACACACACACTGACGCAAGCCAGCCAGAGATGACGGTCACTGCTTCTCCTTCCCCATATTATTCATGTCACATATTTTCACTGTCTGCCTCTGTGTCCTCTTTGGCGGTCAGAAAACACACTCACAGTTTTTTTCCCCCTCTATTTTATTTTAGGGCCCCTGCTCCAGGCAAAGCAAAGCACAGACCCCGCACTATATCAGGCAAGCAGCATCACAGATCAAATACATGAGAAGCTATAACTCACAGCCACTCCAGTTTAGACATTGCAATAGTTAGTTGGGGGGAAAAAAGCATGAGCAGTTTAGTCACTATTAAGAGGAGCATGTTAAAGCATTTACCAGGCTAGGTATGGAAATCCTTGGCAGAGTAACGCAATCCAGTTGCATTCCTCATTGTCTCCCCCTCTCTCTCTTTCTCCCCCCCAACAGATCCACGCAGCGATGATCGGCACAGCTCGGATGCAGGAACTACTCACTCTGTCCGCCTGCAAAAGGAACACTTTAGTGGCTGACTGTCGACATGTCGTAAAGGTCCAGCCGCACTCTTCTCTCTCTGTCTCTCTCTCCTCTCCTGTAGCGGCCGAGGCGGATGAGGAGGATGAGGGAGGGTTGGGGATGGTGGGGGGGACGTGATAAGACTGCAATGAGGTAGAGGATGAAAACCGTGTGAAGGAGAGAGAGAGAGGCGAGAAAGAGGGAAGGACTTAAAAAATAAATAAATAAATAAATTTGGCTTTAGGGTGTAGGGTCCGCTTCTCCACAGTGCAGCCCGTGGGAGCTGCGGCAGGGAGCGCGCAGAGCCGGCGGTCGTGCGCTGCGCGGAGTTGGAGGCTGCGTAACGATGGAGGAGCCTCTCTTCATCTCTAATACAACTGGGTAATTCACAGAGGAGGAGAGGAGATGAGAAAGGAAGAGAGATAGAGAGAGAGGGAGGGAGGGGGGGCACGGAATTAATCATGCAATTTAAACCTTCCCTGTTTTTAGTTCATAAACAGATTACAGGAGAGTCACACGGCAGTGGGGGCCCCTAGAAACTTTTCCCTCACGGTACCAGAGTGAGCGGCGTGCTAAAAAAAAAGAGAGAGAGAGAGAGAGAGAGAGAAAACTGTTCCGCTATACCGACAATAATTTATAATCTCATTATTCATTTCTTCTCTTGCCCTTAAGCACCTATACGGATTGCGCTTAAAAATGGAAAGAAATAACGGTTTGTGTTACCATGGCGACTTGGTGCCAGCTGTCTTTGGCTGCGGAGGAAACGGTGATGACTTTTTAGTAGGAAGAAGTGTTTACAGAAAGGCCCGAAAGTCTGCGCTAACTTCCTCTGAATGGTTTTTGAAGTAGAGCAACAGATGGAGCACTAACCCAGGAGCCACCAAAGCTTGTTTAGGGGTCCCTGCAGAATGTTGTTGGGGTTTTTTTTAGTATTAAAGCTACAGTGTGTAATAATTACAGGCATATAAATTCAGAAATTTAATATATTATACATAACTATGTTATTTATCATCACCTATGAGCTCAGCCTTTTAACCATAACATTTGCGTTGCCTTAGAATTCGTTATTTATAATTACATAGGAGCGGGTCTCGCAGCCATGGAGGCTGACATCTTTGCGCTACGGCAGCGCAGAGGCAACAAACTAGCGATTGCGAGATCTCCCATGACGCTCGAAAATAACTACGGCAAGTTGAGAGAGATGAACTGAGACGGTACTGAACAGTAGATGGCAGTATTATGCCTGAGAAGCGTTTAGTCTGCCTGAAACCAAAGAAGAAGAAGAAGCAGGTATACTGCGCCTCGGTAACAAGAAAGGTAAACAAGGCGGCAGGCGTGAGTGACTTTGCAAACTGTTTGGCACTGTGTGGCCAAACATCAGACGAATGGAGGATCATGTCTACTCTGTATCACAACGAAAAGCGGCGGACACCGAACCCCCGTCATCTAAGAAGCGGAAACACGACGAGAATAAACGCAAGAGTGACAAGAAACGACAAAAAACACGGATCAACATTGGCACGGCATTTACACGATGGAAGTCACTGATGGAGGAAAAAGGTTTTCAAAGTGACGCTCAAGTTGCCAGTTTTCTCTTGGACAGGTAATTAATCCTATACACACAATTGTCTAATATCACTGCAGTTTTTGGAGTACAGGATGCTCAGACCTGTCTAAAACAATAACATGCTGCGTGATGATGCTGTTACTCTCCAGTATACTTATTCAGCAACGTCCCTGACGTTTCACAGGTAATGATTCAGTAATTTTCTGTAAAATAATTTTCTGGATATATACCTCGGTTACTTCTCTCCGGCTCCTTTGGAGATCTTCAAGCCTTTCCTCCTCTGCTCTCACCCCGCTGGCTCCCCTCTCTCGCCTGGCCCCAGCTGCACGCTCACCCCGGCCTCTCTGCCCTCTTCCTTGCCTTGTAACCCCCGTGCCACAAACATGACTTGGACTCTGTAAACGGGGAATATATATTCTTCCAGCGAACACAATCTCGCTGTTAAACTAATGACTACAATTACTTCGTCTGTTTATATCACCATGCAAAGCAGCTCACCAAAACGTCACAACGACGTAGAAAAAATAACGGGTATATTTATTATCTTAAGTCTACATGAAATCTATACCCTACACAGACTAATGAAATACTATCTGTAAAATTATCTATGTAAACAAACCTCATCACTTGAGAAGGTAGGTGATGCGGACGTCGTGGAAGACATTTTGTCCCGTAACGCTCGCCGTACTGTTGGGGGGGAGAAGCGGTGGGGGGGAGACGTTCATGTTGCTGCAGTCTGCAGTCTGACCGCTAGATGTCGCTGAAAATTACACACTGTAGCTTTAACTACAACTCATCTGAAAACTCCTTTTATGGTTGTTTTTTTTTTTATTTTGTTTGAGTTTTTTTTAACCTTTTTAATGTAATTGTATTTTACTGGTGCATTTCAATAAAGCAGAATATGCCATCAGTGGAAAGTTGATTCATTTAATCCATTCAGTATTGAAATTCAAGTTCAGTTAGATTAATTTAACAAAAAGCAAGACATTTTACAAAGTTTCTTTGTACATTTTAAGGAATAGTGGTTTAAAAATCTAAAAGAGCCAATTTTTCTGTAAATCACAGAATTACATAATATAAATAAAAATTATTCAATTTTTTTTTTATGCAGATGTTACTTTATGGCCATGCCATTCAAGAATAAGGCAGCTGAGCTGACAGGTTTCCACTTGACAGTGATTGACATACAAATCTGCTATAATTGCGAGGGGGAAAAAGTTGGATCCACTACTAAATAGTGCACAAGCAACACAAAGTACCTGAACTCTGAAAATATGCCCTTTGTTGAAAATTGGTTAAAAAAAATCAGTTGAAGGGGCTTGGATTAAACAAAAGCTATGGTGATGTTTTTATCCTACAAGAACATGGACATGAGTAGGAAACTACACGCCCTGAACACTTTACCCCCACTATTTAACATGGTGGTGGCAGCATTATGCTCTTGAGGTTTTGTTTAACCCTATAATGCCAAATGTATCATATTTGATACATACGTTTTCTGAAATGTTTTGCATCTGACACCTTTTGCATATTTAATGGTAAAAACTTTGCTCAAAATCCTATTGTACACAATCAGATATACCTGAAAACAGCCAGTAGAAGACTACACAAAAAATAATCTTGACTTATCGCATAGTAATAAATTATTAATATCAAAAATGTATTTCTGTTTTTTCTTTTTACATATTTTGTTAAAAGGGCAAATAAGGATTTCAAACCAAAAAAAGGGAAATTTCTGTTTTGTTTTATTCTTGGATCAGGCTTTAAAGGGTTAACAGAAATAGGGAAGCAGATCAGACTAGATGGGCAGATGAATTGAGCTAAACACAAGTACTAAAGAATACTTGGCTTGGGTTTTACCCTCCAGTTACATAGAGTCAGTTACACAGTAAAGTTCCCCAAATGCTAACTCTAAATCCAATTAACAATTTATACTAAACCATAAAAATAATTTCTTTAAAATCTCTATTTGTCTTCTATTGTATGTATTTGATTTGTATTTAATACAGTTTATGGTTACAATGTGAGATAAAGATATCCAAATTTGTGTTGCTCAGGCAAGTAATCTTTTTAAGGTTTATATGATAATTTAAAGTTCCCAACTCCATAATGTTTTAAAATTGTCTGGATTTTATTTATGAGAGTTACATATACACAAAAACACTTTTGTAAACAAGACTTTTGTGAGTGTCTCAGGTTTCAGTGAGGCCCACTGTTGGAGTAAAGCTCCAACTAGCCTGCTTAGCTTTCGCCTTGGGCCAGCTCTGCAATCACTCCTGTAGTGAATTTAGCTCCCTGCTTAGGCTAATCACAGCTTGCTAGGTGGTTGCTGCTCCATCATATGCCTCCAAGTGGCAGCTGCAGGGGCCACCGTAAAGCCTAGGGTCTCCTGTAGGTCTCAATCAGACATATTGTGGCACCGCATTGTTGAAAACACACATTCACAGGCGTCCAAAGAGCAGTCGGCCAGTTTCACGGCTATAGAAAAAGATTTAATAACAACATGTCTCCCACGTTACTGAGCTGAAAGTTCAATTTTCAGTTCAATTTCACATTGATTTCTGCGTGCATTATAAGGTGAATCACCTTGAGGAAATGGAGAGGTGCATTTCTCTCTCTCTCCACTCCTTCCACCCTCCCCACCATGTTCCTCCCAGTAGCATGGAGGGGAAAGCTCTCCCTGGAGATTCCTATCAGAAACAGCAACAGAGACGGTTCCAGTAATATCAGAAAGATGTAGATGATGGTTATAGATCTCAGGGCTCTCAGGTGCATTAGTCTTTATTACAGCCTCCCCACAAGACTACTTAACGATAGCTTGCAGTGGAAACAAGCAGGCGGAGACAGAGGATGAATGCATGCCCAGCCACATGGATGCATGTTCTTGTTGAGAGTGCATAAGCATTGATGCACAATGCACATGATTGAACATTCAAAACGTGCAGGAATTCTACATTGCAAGTCTGAGGCTAACTTATACACTCATCATGCATGTAAATATTAAAAGAATTTGGCAATTTAAAGGCTGGAATATTCATATCACAGCAAACATCAATTAGTTTTTTTTTTTCAATTTTGAGAGCTTTACCATGACTTTTTTACAGATTTGTTGTCATATTGCCAAAAACCTAAATCTTTGTCTCCTACAACCCTAAATAATATATTCATAAAACCTTCAGCATTCAAATGAGGGTTTGTTGCTTCTTGTTTGTTTGATAACCTCTTAGTCCATGGGGATGACGACAAATACCGTGTGTTTATGTCATGCTCTCAGGTCTGGGTGCGGGCCCAGGTTCTCTCTCTCTCTTCTCTGCAGGCTGTGACAGGCAGGGGCTCCCCATCGCCGTTAATTAGAGCATTTCTTAAGGAATGGAAACAAGAAGGAGGGCATCAGTTCTTTCTTGCTTCCATGGTGGTATTTGAGCGAACAAAGTATTTTCTTAGTAACCTTAAAGCCAGTTCCTAATTACATGTTTGTGTTTCCTTGTAGAGGTCCAAGCCTGGACCTCTACATAGGTATAAAAAAAATCCTTTGATCACCAGTCTGCTTTTGTCCTCCCTCACCTGCCTGTCCACCCGCCAATACTATCTGCACAAAAAAGAGAACCACCACATTATAACCTTGCCCTGATGCAGAGTCTGTCTTTTCTAAACATGACAATTTAAGTGTTTTTCAGTTGTAGTAAGCTTGGGCTTTGATAGTTTTTAGATTTTTTTTTCTCAATCCCCCTATGAATTTTCTTTCATCAGATGGTAAGAGTTTGAGTCACATTTTTTGTGTTTCCTTTGGGGGGGGGGGGGGGGGGGGG